CACCTTTTGACGTGGCCCGGAGGGGGTATTTATAGGATTCAATGAGGAACCCACGTGGCATGCCAAGCAAGATAATCGGAGCCTGACGTGTCCATCCAGACGATTATTTCGGGACTGGGAATTTGAGAGGTATTCAGATGCACGGATGTTCACCATACTTGCTGTGCCACTCGTCATAAGGAATTAGGTACGGGCATGCTTATTGTCATTGTCATGCAACTATTTGAGCAAGAAGTTTTGGATTCATTTCTCACTTCGGTCATGAAGGAATTACTGTAGCAGTCCGAGGCTTGGCACCTCGGACCTGTCCTTACACTGCAATTACAGTAATTCTCCTTGGATCATTGCAGCCACCAGATTGGATGGTAAAGTTGAACCTCCTTTCTCTACCGCTTTCCCTCCACTCTCCATTTCCATTCTCTTCTTTCTCACTGCTTCTACCACTTCCTTCTCATCAATATCTAGGCTTGCTTCCTTTGCTCTCGAAAACTTAGTGCCAGGCAAGTTAATGGCTGGCTTGAAAACCCCTTCGAGAACTCTCTTAAATGTGTTTATCATTTCGGGCTCAACCTCGCGACCTAACAAACATTCAAACACAATAGTAAAAGTTAGGGCCTTGGTAGAGCGGTAAAGGCTGAGCTTACGTTTGCGCTGCCAATTTTGCTACATGTGCCGCTGAACTGTCTTGCACATTCGGCACCACGGCCTCCAAAAAAGCATAATTGAGACTAGCTAGATGATATAGGGCTACGAAGACAGTAGTGTTGCTCTCTCGTTCTCTTAATTGTTTTCCCATAATGGAGTTCGTCCCATGAGCAGCACTCACATGTAATACCCCAAAATTTTGTAATATTTAGCACTTAGTTAAGGATTTGATTGTGAGGAAAGATTGTTTTGGGGCTTATTATCCAAAATGTCTAAACTTGAAGGACTTAAAAGGGTAAAAATTTAGATAAGGACCGGGTATTTTTTCTTCCTTCTTCCCCAGCCATTTCGGGTTCTGCTCTTCTTTCTTCCCGCTGCAGCCAAAAAAAAAAAAAAGAGGTACCCAGCAAAGCCGACAGCCCCACTTGGAAAATTGGTAAGGAAGCTTGGATTTTTCTCTTCTTTTCTTGTTTAAAAACAAGATTTAAGCCTTGAAATCTTCCCCCCCTGCAAGAAAGCTCCCGAATCTGCTCTGCTCTGTCTTCACCGTCAGCTACTCTTCCTTGCTTGTGAGTGCGAATTGCTTTGATTTTTGGG